TCCCTAACTCCTTCAACTCCAACGGCGCCATGCCATAAGGAGCAATGGATATCGGTTCTGTACAAGGGTAAAGCTCAATAGAAAACTCCACTTCCCTCAACAGAGGTCATCTAGGCAACTCGTCGAGAAAAAAGTTACGAACGTTGGATACTATAAGAATAAAAGTGGACTCTGCATCGTTCTGTTCCTCTCCAGAAATATGGGCTAAGAAACTTAGGCTACTCCCAATATCAACCTTCAAAACGTGTTTCCCCATCGTATGGAGATGTCAAGGGATACTATTTTCACCCATGAAATAGCAAAGTATACCCGATGCACAAAATACCACTTTCTTCCAGTAGCAATCCATAGTAGCATGGTAGGGAGAGAGTAAATCCATTCCGAAAATAACATCATACCCCATCCTCTCCAAAGCAATTAAATCTACCCTCAACTCTTTCTCTCCAAAGCGAAGTACTCAATTTCTACACACTAGTTGTCTCCAAACAATCCCTAGTAGGTAGATATACATATATCACATAACCCAAAGGCTCAAACTCCAACCCCAATGCAATGGCATATGATGTACAAATAAAAGAATGGGTTACCCCAGGATCAAACAAGATTTGAGCCCATGAATTATAGAGAAGAATCATACCCTCTACTACTACATTCGAAGCACTCCCATCAGGCTGAACTAAACCATAAATGCGAGCTGAGGCATCAGTGCCCTGAGTCTTGGTTCCCTATTTCTTCTGTTGAGCTTACTATTGTGGTTGAGATTTGAATTAAGTGGTCTGGGGTTGCTGTGGTACTATCTGTACATGAGCAGAAGAAGTTTGCTAATATGGTAGCTTTGTGGACTGTTGATAAAATCCCCTAGTACTTTGTCCCTGTGATGAAGAAGTTATTGATGGGTAGTGACTCCTAAGGTGACCTGTGCCACCACACCCATAACACCGCTTTAAGTGTATCGACACTCTCTCAACATGGCCCCTGGTCTCAAACTTTGTGCATAGCTTGACTTACTCCCTTGACCCATAATGCGCTCTGAATGCTAGTATGGAGTATCCCTGTGACGTCCACCACTACCACTGTCAGTCTTAGATTGACTCTTCCTATGTTGGAAATGCTCTCGAATGACTTGAGTTTCCTCCCAATCTATGTCCACTAGGGTAGCCCACTCAACTAATTCTCCAAAGTCACAATGCGAAGAGCTACCAATTTCTCCTGAATAGATGACTTCAAACCTTTTTCAAACAATTTGGCCTTCTTGACCTTAGTCGATACATATTCTATAGCAAAGCGGGAGAGCTCCACGAACTTGAACTCATATTGAGTGACAGTCATGTTACGTTGTTGAAGTACCATGAAGTCAGATGTCATCTTATCCCTCATTGATTTGGGAAAGTACTTCCCATTGAAAACCTCTTCAAAATTTTTCCATGTCATTTGTTCCACGTTTCTCCTTCTTTTTACTAACTCCCACCAATGGTCAGGTTTCCTTTCCATAAGATATGCAGCTTGACCAACTCTCAAGTCATTGGCAATATCCATGCCATCCATCACTTTCTTCACTTATTGGAAGCCACTTCTCTGCCTCGAGTGGATCTGGGCCTCCTTGAAAGATAGGAGGGCATTGTCGTAGAAATTCTTTAAGAACCATCATTCTTCTACCCTCACCTCCAACTTGTTGCACTTGAGCTTGGGTGGCGGTAGTATGATTATTGTTATTCCCGGCTTGTTGTTGTACCAATGTAGTGAGCTCCCTCAAACATTGGTAGATACCATTCATAGTGTCATGACATGGTGGTACGTGATTTCCCCCTCCTTGGGGTGGTCTCCCACGTCCTCTTCTTGCCTCTATCCTACATATGCAACTAGGCTTTAGATCACTATTTCAAACATATACATTCTAGAGATGTAGTCGAGTTTATGAGATACGTCGTTTCCTACAATTAACCTCAAAAGCCTAATGACTTTCAAAAACTTCATGTGTTGGGACCATATTTAGATAATCCATGTACCTATATCTCTCATATAAGACCTAATACCTAAGCTCTAATACCAACTTGTCAAGCCCCAAATTTCATAAAAGCGTGATTAAAACAAAGCATCCCTGTAAGAGTATAACATAATTTAGACTAACTAAACATCCACAACATACGTCCATCAAAAATATAATCCAACTAAATTCATGGTGGCAATTAGAGACCCATGAAGTCCTCCCAAACTCGGATACATCCAATACCAATATATACTATAATTGAGTACACAAAGTCATTACTTTACATTACAATACCCAAAGTAATAATCCCTTTATGGAATGATCAAGTATACACCATAAATGCCTCAATATAACATTTTCAAACACAATGTCTAAGTGCTAACATTTCTACATAAGTCCTAAAGGTAAACACAAAAAAGGCTCCAAAATAAATTCTTTCTAGTCCAAGCTCCCACAAGCATTTCATCACCTATGCCCCATGATGCATGCTAGTCTCTGAAAATATTAGTAAGGGATAAGCAACCATAACTCAATAGGATAATCATTTTCCCAAGTATTTACAAAGTTTTAAATACCAACATTCCACAAACCATTCGAATAAGTAATGAAAGCTTTCTATACTTAAGTATAGATACAAGATAATAAGTAAAACATTTATAAAAATCTCTCAACACCTCAACATTAGAAATATACAAGGTATAAATTAAAGGTTTATATATTTAAAGTCAAATCATCATAGCAAATATCATGCATGCCTCGCATACGGACAATATAATCAATCACACCAATTCACACATGAACCATCCCAGAGGAACCTTTTGGGTCTTGCACCCTAGGGTCTCATCCCCCTTCTTGCTTTTCAAGGAAAATGTGTATGGCACAACTTGTGATGCCACATAGGTCATCACCGTATACCAGTACCATAACTAATCCCCCTTAGGACTAGTAGTCGCCTTAGTAACCCACTCAATAGGCCCCAACTGTCTACTAACTCTCTGCCTGTCAGTATCGAGCATACATTTTTCAAAAATCATTATTTTCTATATCCATAAATCCTTTTGAAAACATATGTCATAACCTTGACATTTTATCAAACATGTAGTAGGCTCAAATTTCAAAAGTTACATTTTCAAAGCAACATAACCATTTTCAAGAGAATAAACCATATATATTATGTACAAAATCATAGCATACTTCAAAACTCCCAAATCATAGGTTTAATCAAATATTCACAGCTAAAATCAAACTAGAGTTTCAAACCCACAACACTAAAATTATTTCCATTTCCAAGAGAACACTTCATATATATTATGTACAAGATTATAGCATACTTCAAAACCCCCAAATTATAGGTTTAATCAAATACCAATAACTAAAATTAAACTAGGGTTTCAAACCCATAACACTAAAATCATTTTTTTGTATGTGAGTTCACAATTCATGGCAAACTTAACACTAAATCAAGGTTTATAACAAGTATTTTGTCATCAAACACATAGTAAGCATTAGCAAAAGAAAATAAATGAGATGCACAATGTAAATGCAAGAGAAAGGAAAACCCCACCTAGAAATCAAAAATTTCAAGCCAAGTTCCTAGAATTTTCAAGCAAAACCCAAGTTTTAGAGACCTTCTCCTTCCCTTTTCTCTTTCAATTTTTCTTCTCCTAGGGTTCTAAGAGGTATTGGGTGAGAGTGGAATGAAAAAATGAAAGAAAAGGGGCTAAAATTTGAGTTTTAAATCCAACAATCCTGAAATTTACTGTTCATGGGCAAAAAATATATTTTTTCTGAAATTATGGTTTTGCCACTAAGCATTCCAATTTGATCCATATGACTACCCTAAAGCTTTTCGACATTCTATATTCATTTTTAATGTTATTTTAATCTAAAAATATTTAGTTTTATGATTTATCTCAAAAATAAAGTTAATTTACACCTAAAATACTAAAATTACTATTTTACCCCTCCGAACCGTTGCATAAGCCAAACGTCCATTCCAAGTTTTTTCAGACCTCCCGGATTCAATGATATTATTATTTTGACATAAAAATTAATATATTTACTTAGTTACCCTTATCAACCTTAAACACCTTCAAAAATTAAATTTGACCCAAAAGTCAATACGTTCGTGCTTCAAACTTACTTGATTATTCCTGTAACAACGATTCAAAGTTTTTCTCATCATTTTAATCATTTTAAAAATACTAGCAAGTTAATGTCATTGATATTTATATAACACACGGGATCTCACAATAGTCTATTGGAAGGATCATATACCTTTCCTCTTCGGCCTATGAGAAATCTTGGAACGACCTGATGCGAACATAATCTCTAAGAATTCCTTGAAAGGATGGTCACGAACTATCAAGAGTCTACTCTCCTACTCTATAGATAACATGGGTGAAACTACAGAGAAACCAATCACACAATAAGAATAGATATGTGATGACTAGAAGTAAAAACAAAAGTGGAATTCTTACCTAGCTTGGTCCTCGGGACGGTGTCCCACCACGAAGGCACAAGGTCAAGGTCACCCTCGGTGGCCCACTTATCTCCAACAAAAAGCACTTAGACTTCCAGCTATGAGAGTTTGAAGGAAGCTTAGTGATGAACTTGTCTGACCTCGGGGCAAAACGACAACCCCCTTAATGAGGAAAAGGGTTATCCAGGAGCACATGTGACCAAAAACTCGTCGAATGGGGGGAGGAACATCAACATTGTGAACTAGCTGCCACAGTGAGAAAAATGCTAGGATCACTCTCCACCCGTTGGGAGCCAACCTCCGGGGGGCCTACGACAGGTGCCGTAGAATCTGACAAATAGGTCCGGGTATTAGGAACCTCAAGCTCGCTTCTAAGGCATCATTATAAAGAACAATCTCACCCGAAGAGTCACAACATGCTAGCTTATCCTCCTTCGCCTGATGACACATGCCAGTGGGAGGCATATAGTATGAAGACAAAATACAGGCGATGTCATCATCACAGTCAATTGAGCTAAAAATAGAAACTACCTTCGAATCATCGCCCTTAGCGATCCTCTTGCCTTGTGGGAAGCCTCGAATAGCGTCCTTCAAAGCACCTCCATTAGGACAAGCACCTATCAAAATCAGAATAGATATCAAGAAATTCTAAGGAAAGGTAAATGCTAGGACTAAGGCAACAGTGAAAATTCAAGTGTTTGCCTCACCATCACGAGGCCTTACGCTAAATCCACTAGCATCAGCTGACCCATGCCTGCTGAAGAGTAGCCCACCAGTGTCGCCACCTGGCCTATGTATCACGCCCCATCTTGGTCTCCCATGGATGAGATGCGACTAGGTTTGTAATACACCTGTTTATAATTATTATAATCTGGACTAATCAAACATTAAATAGTCTCACAGATGCAACAACACCATCTATCACCTTTGTCATTAAGTATGATGGTAGAACCCATCTTATAACCTGTATCATATATAAAACATCTATATCAATTGTTTGTTTTTCAGGTAATAGACATATACAAAATCTCATACCCACATACCATACATCACAAAGTATGTTTGTTAAGTCTGTTTATAAATATATACTAATAACCTGCNATCTCACAGATGCAACAACACCATCCATCACCTTTGTCATTAAGTATGATGGTAGAACCCATCTTATAACCTGTATCATATATAAAACATCTGTATCAATTGTTTGTTTTTCAGGTAATAGACATATACAAAATCTCATACCCACATATCATACATCACAAAGTATGTTTGTTAAGTCTGTTTATAAATATATACTAATAACCTGCNACCCCAGGATCAAACAAGATTTGAGCCCATGAATTATAGAGAAGAATCATACCCTCTACTACTACATTCGAAGCACTCCCATCAGGCTGAACTAAACCATAAATGCGAGCTGAGGCATCAGTGCCCTGAGTCTTGGTTCCCTATTTCTTCTGTTGAGCNGCTATAATAATCTTTCACAAATATAATATACAACTCAGCAATTAGTTATACTAACACTCAACCTGAGCGATATCACCCTAACATTGTACAAGACTCAAACGNACTATTGTGGTTGAGATTTGAATTAAGTGGTCTGGGGTTGCTGTGGTACTATCTGTACATGAGCAGAAGAAGTTTGCTAATATGGTAGCTTTGTGGACTGTTGATAAAATCCCCTAGTACTTTGTCCCTGTGATGAAGAAGTTATTGATGGGTAGTGACTCCTAAGGTGACCTGTGCCACCACACCCATAACACCGCTTTAAGTGTATCGACACTCTCTCAACATGGCCCCTGGTCTCAAACTTTGTGCATAGCTTGACTTACTCCCTTGACCCATAATGCGCTCTGAATGCTAGTATGGAGTATCCCTGTGACGTCCACCACTACCACTGTCAGTCTTAGATTGACTCTTCCTATGTTGGAAATGCTCTCGAATGACTTGAGTTTCCTCCCAATCTATGTCCACTAGGGTAGCCCACTCAACTAATTCTCCAAAGTCACAATGCGAAGAGCTACCAATTTCTCCTGAATAGATGACTTCAAACCTTTTTCAAACAATTTGGCCTTCTTGACCTTAGTCGATACATATTCTATAGCAAAGCGGGAGAGCTCCACGAACTTGAACTCATATTGAGTGACAGTCATGTTACGTTGTTGAAGTACCATGAAGTCAGATGTCATCTTATCCCTCATTGATTTGGGAAAGTACTTCCCATTGAAAACCTCTTCAAAATTTTTCCATGTCATTTGTTCCACGTTTCTCCTTCTTTTTACTAACTCCCACCAATGGTCAGGTTTCCTTTCCATAAGATATGCAGCTTGACCAACTCTCAAGTCATTGGCAATATCCATGCCATCCATCACTTTCTTCACTTATTGGAAGCCACTTCTCTGCCTCGAGTGGATCTGGGCCTCCTTGAAAGATAGGAGGGCATTGTCGTAGAAATTCTTTAAGAACCATCATTCTTCTACCCTCACCTCCAACTTGTTGCACTTGAGCTTGGGTGGCGGTAGTATGATTATTGTTATTCCCGGCTTGTTGTTGTACCAATGTAGTGAGCTCCCTCAAACATTGGTAGATACCATTCATAGTGTCATGACATGGTGGTACGTGATTTCCCCCTCCTTGGGGTGGTCTCCCACGTCCTCTTCTTGCCTCTATCCTACATATGCAACTAGGCTTTAGATCACCATTCAAACATATACATTCTAGAGATGTAGTCGAGTTTATGAGATACGTCGTTTCCTACAATTAACCTCAAAAGCCTAATGACTTTCAAAAACTTCATGTGTTGGGACCATATTTAGATAATCCATGTACCTATATCTCTCATATAAGACCTAATACCTAAGCTCTAATACCAACTTGTCAAGCCCCAAATTTCATAAAAGCGTGATTAAAACAAAGCATCCCTGTAAGAGTATAACATAATTTAGACTAACTAAACATCCACAACATACGTCCATCAAAAATATAATCCAACTAAATTCATGGTGGCAATTAGAGACCCATGAAGTCCTCCCAAACTCGGATACATCCAATACCAATATATACTATAATTGAGTACACAAAGTCATTACTTTACATTACAATACCCAAAGTAATAATCCCTTTATGGAATGATCAAGTATACACCATAAATGCCTCAATATAACATTTTCAAACACAATGTCTAAGTGCTAACATTTCTACATAAGTCCTAAAGGTAAACACAAAAAAGGCTCCAAAATAGATTCTTTCTAGTCCAAGCTCCCACAAGCATTTCATCACCTATGCCCCATGATGCATGCTAGTCTCTGAAAATATTAGTAAGGGATAAGCAACCATAACTCAATAGGATAATCATTTTCCCAAGTATTTACAAAGTTTTAAATACCAACATTCCACAAACCATTCGAATAAGTAATGAAAGCTTTCTATACTTAAGTATAGATACAAGATAATAAGTAAAACATTTATAAAAATCTCTCAACACCTCAACATTAGAAATATACAAGGTATAAATTAAAGGTTTATATATTTAAAGTCAAATCATCATAGCAAATATCATGCATGCCTCGCATACGGACAATATAATCAATCACACCAATTCACACATGAACCATCCCAGAGGAACCTTTTGGGTCTTGCACCCTAGGGTCTCATCCCCCTTCTTGCTTTTCAAGGAAAATGTGTATGGCACAACTTGTGATGCCACATAGGTCATCACCGTATACCAGTACCATAACTAATCCCCCTTAGGACTAGTAGTCGCCTTAGTAACCCACTCAATAGGCCCCAACTGTCTACTAACTCTCTGCCTGTCAGTATCGAGCATACATTTTTCAAAAATCATTATTTTCTATATCCATAAATCCTTTTGAAAACATATGTCATAACCTTGACATTTTATCAAACATGTAGTAGGCTCAAATTTCAAAAGTTACATTTTCAAAGCAACATAACCATTTTCAAGAGAATAAACCATATATATTATGTACAAAATCATAGCATACTTCAAAACCCCCAAATCATAGGTTTAATCAAATATTCACAGCTAAAATCAAACTAGAGTTTCAAACCCACAACACTAAAATTATTTCCATTTCCAAGAGAACACTTCATATATATTATGTACAAGATTATAGCATACTTCAAAACCCCCAAATTATAGGTTTAATCAAATACCAATAACTAAAATTAAACTAGGGTTTCAAACCCATAACACTAAAATCATTTTTTTGTATGTGAGTTCACAATTCATGGCAAACTTAACACTAAATCAAGGTTTATAACAAGTATTTTGTCATCAAACACATAGTAAGCATTAGCAAAAGAAAATAAATGAGATGCACAATGTAAATGCAAGAGAAAGGAAAACCCCACCTAGAAATCAAAAATTTCAAGCCAAGTTCCTAGAATTTTCAAGCAAAACCCAAGTTTTAGAGACCTTCTCCTTCCCTTTTCTCTTTCAATTTTTCTTCTCCTAGGGTTCTAAGAGGTATTGGGTGAGAGTGGAATGAAAAAATGAAAGAAAAGGGGCTAAAATTTGAGTTTTAAATCCAACAATCCTGAAATTTACTGTTCATGGGCAAAAAATATATTTTTTCTGAAATTATGGTTTTGCCACTAAGCATTCCAATTTGATCCATATGACTACCCTAAAGCTTTTCGACATTCTATATTCATTTTTAATGTTATTTTAATCTAAAAATATTTAGTTTTATGATTTATCTCAAAAATAAAGTTAATTTACACCTAAAATACTAAAATTACTATTTTACCCCTCCGAACCGTTGCATAAGCCAAACGTCCATTCCAAGTTTTTTCAGACCTCCCGGATTCAATGATATTATTATTTTGACATAAAAATTAATATATTTACTTAGTTACCCTTATCAACCTTAAACACCTTCAAAAATTAAATTTGACCCAAAAGTCAATACGTTCGTGCTTCAAACTTACTTGACTATTCCTGTAACAACGATTCAAAGTTTTTCTCATCATTTTAATCATTTTAAAAATACTAGCAAGTTAATGTCATTGATATTTATATAACACACGGGATCTCACAATAGTCTATTGGAAGGATCATATACCTTTCCTCTTCGGCCTATGAGAAATCTTGGAACGACCTGATGCGAACATAATCTCTAAGAATTCCTTGAAAGGATGGTCACGAACTATCAAGAGTCTACTCTCCTACTTATAGATAACATGGGTGAAACTACAGAGAAACCAATCACACAATAAGAATAGATATGTGATGACTAGAAGTAAAAACAAAAGTGGAATTCTTACCTAGCTTGGTCCTCGGGACGGTGTCCCACCACGAAGGCACAAAGTCAAGGTCACCCTCGGTGGCCCACTTATCTCCAACAAAAAGCACTTAGACTTCCAGCTATGAGAGTTTGAAGGAAGCTTAGTGATGAACTTGTCTGACCTCGGGGCAAAACGACAACCCCCTTAATGAGGAAAAGGGTTATCCAGGAGCACATGTGACCAAAAACTCGTCGAATGGGGGGAGGAACATCAACATTGTGAACTAGCTGCCACAGTGAGAAAAATGCTAGGATCACTCTCCACCCGTTGGGAGCCAACCTCCGGGGGGCCTACGACAGGTGCCGTAGAATCTGACAAATAGGTCCGGGTATTAGGAACCTCAAGCTCGCTTCTAAGGCATCATTATAAAGAACAATCTCACCCGAAGAGTCACAACATGCTAGCTTATCCTCCTTCGCCTGATGACACATGCCAGTGGGAGGCATATAGTATGAAGACAAAATACAGGCGATGTCATCATCACAGTCAATTGAGCTAAAAATAGAAACTACCTTCGAATCATCGCCCTTAGCGATCCTCTTGCCTTGTGGGAAGCCTCGAATAGCGTCCTTCAAAGCACCTCCATTAGGACAAGCACCTATCAAAATCAGAATAGATATCAAGAAATTCTAAGGAAAGGTAAATGCTAGGACTAAGGCAACAGTGAAAATTCAAGTGTTTGCCTCACCATCACGAGGCCTTACGCTAAATCCACTAGCATCAGCTGACCCATGCCTGCTGAAGAGTAGCCCACCAGTGTCGCCACCTGGCCTATGTATCATGCCCCATCTTGGTCTCCCATGGATGAGATGCGACTAGGTTTGTAATACACCTGTTTATAATTATTATAATCTGGACTAATCAAACATTAAATAATCTCACAGATGCAACAACACCATCCATCACCTTTGTCATTAAGTATGATGGTAGAACCCATCTTATAACCTGTATCATATATAAAACATCTATATCAATTGTTTGTTTTTCAGGTAATAGACATATACAAAATCTCATACCCACATACCATACATCACAAAGTATGTTTGTTAAGTCTGTTTATAAATATATACTAATAACCTGCTATAATAATCTTTCACAAATATAATATACAACTCAGCAATTAGTTATACTAACACTCAACCTGAGCGATATCACCCTAACATTGTACAAGACTCAAACGACTAGACAGTGGACTGGTCTCCATCCTCCTCTATAGTACCTAAAAAGAAAAAGCTATAGGAGTGTAAGCTAAACCACGCGCTCAGTGAGCATANTGACTAGACAGTGGACTGGTATGCATCCTCCTCTATCATACCTAAAAAGAAAAAGCTATAGGAGTGTAAGCTAAACCACGCGCTCAGTGAGCATACATGCTATATATGAAATGGAAATGATAGTAATACACTGTAGTAGGTAGATACTACGTAGATACACGTATCAAACAACAACGTCAATCTAATTGCNGTCGACACTCTCTCAACATGGCCCCTGGTCTCAAACTTTGTGCATAGCTTGACTTACTCCCTTGACCCATAATGCGCTCTGAATGCTAGTATGGAGTATCCCTGTGACGTCCACCACTACCACTGTCAGTCTTAGATTGACTCTTCCTATGTTGGAAATGCTCTCGAATGACTTGAGTTTCCTCCCAATCTATGTCCACTAGGGTAGCCCACTCAACTAATTCTCCAAAGTCACAATGCGAAGAGCTACCAATTTCTCCTGAATAGATGACTTCAAACCTTTTTCAAACAATTTGGCCTTCTTGACCTTAGTCGATACATATTCTATAGCAAAGCGGGAGAGCTCCACGAACTTGAACTCATATTGAGTGACAGTCATGTTACGTTGTTGAAGTACCATGAAGTCAGATGTCATCTTATCCCTCATTGATTTGGGAAAGTACTTCCCATTGAAAACCTCTTCAAAATTTTTCCATGTCATTTGTTCCACGTTTCTCCTTCTTTTTACTAACTCCCACCAATGGTCAGGTTTCCTTTCCATAAGATATGCAGCTTGACCAACTCTCAAGTCATTGGCAATATCCATGCCATCCATCACTTTCTTCACTTATTGGAAGCCACTTCTCTGCCTCGAGTGGATCTGGGCCTCCTTGAAAGATAGGAGGGCATTGTCGTAGAAATTCTTTAAGAACCATCATTCTTCTACCCTCACCTCCAACTTGTTGCACTTGAGCTTGGGTGGCGGTAGTATGATTATTGTTATTCCCGGCTTGTTGTTGTACCAATGTAGTGAGCTCCCTCAAACATTGGTAGATACCATTCATAGTGTCATGACATGGTGGTACGTGATTTCCCCCTCCTTGGGGTGGTCTCCCACGTCCTCTTCTTGCCTCTATCCTACATATGCAACTAGGCTTTAGATCACCATTCAAACATATACATTCTAGAGATGTAGTCGAGTTTATGAGATACGTCGTTTCCTACAATTAACCTCAAAAGCCTAATGACTTTCAAAAACTTCATGTGTTGGGACCATATTTAGATAATCCATGTACCTATATCTCTCATATAAGACCTAATACCTAAGCTCTAATACCAACTTGTCAAGCCCCAAATTTCATAAAAGCGTGATTAAAACAAAGCATCCCTGTAAGAGTATAACATAATTTAGACTAACTAAACATCCACAACATACGTCCATCAAAAATATAATCCAACTAAATTCATGGTGGCAATTAGAGACCCATGAAGTCCTCCCAAACTCGGATACATCCAATACCAATATATACTATAACTGAGTACACAAAGTCATTACTTTACATTACAATACCCAAAGTAATAATCCCTTTATGGAATGATCAAGTATACACCATAAATGCCTCAATATAACATTTTCAAACACAATGTCTAAGTGCTAACATTTCTACATAAGTCCTAAAGGTAAACACAAAAAAGGCTCCAAAATAGATTCTTTCTAGTCCAAGCTCCCACAAGCATTTCATCACCTATGCCCCATGATGCATGCTAGTCTCTGAAAATATTAGTAAGGGATAAGCAACCATAACTCAATAGGATAATCATTTTCCCAAGTATTTACAAAGTTTTAAATACCAACATTCCACAAACCATTCGAATAAGTAATGAAAGCTTTCTATACTTAAGTATAGATACAAGATAATAAGTAAAACATTTATAAAAATCTCTCAACACCTCAACATTAGAAATATACAAGGTATAAATTAAAGGTTTATATATTTAAAGTCAAATCATCATAGCAAATATCATGCATGCCTCGCATACGGACAATATAATCAATCACACCAATTCACACATGAACCATCCCAGAGGAACCTTTTGGGTCTTGCACCCTAGGGTCTCATCCCCCTTCTTGCTTTTCAAGGAAAATGTGTATGGCACAACTTGTGATGCCACATAGGTCATCACCGTATACCAGTACCATAACTAATCCCCCTTAGGACTAGTAGTCGCCTTAGTAACCCACTCAATAGGCCCCAACTGTCTACTAACTCTCTGCCTATCAGTATCGAGCATACATTTTTCAAAAATCATTATTTTCTATATCCATAAATCCTTTTGAAAACATATGTCATAACCTTGACATTTTATCAAACATGTAGTAGGCTCAAATTTCAAAAGTTACATTTTCAAAGCAACATAACCATTTTCAAGAGAATAAACCATATATATTATGTACAAAATCATAGCATACTTCAAAACTCCCAAATCATAGGTTTAATCAAATATTCACAGCTAAAATCAAACTAGAGTTTCAAACCCACAACACTAAAATTATTTCCATTTCCAAGAGAACACTTCATATATATTATGTACAAGATTATAGCATACTTCAAAACCCCCAAATTATAGGTTTAATCAAATACCAATAACTAAAATTAAACTAGGGTTTCAAACCCATAACACTAAAATCATTTTTTTGTATGTGAGTTCACAATTCATGGCAAACTTAACACTAAATCAAGGTTTATAACAAGTATTTTGTCATCAAACACATAGTAAGCATTAGCAAAAGAAAATAAATGAGATGCACAATGTAAATGCAAGAGAAAGGAAAACCCCACCTAGAAATCAAAAATTTCAAGCCAAGTTCCTAGAATTTTCAAGCAAAACCCAAGTTTTAGAGACCTTCTCCTTCCCTTTTCTCTTTCCATTTATCTTCTCCTAGGGTTCTAAGAGGTATTGGGTGAGAGTGGAATGAAAAAATGAAAGAAAAGGGGCTAAAATTTGAGTTTTAAATCCAACAATCCTGAAATTTACTGTTCATGGGCAAAAAATATATTTTTTCTGAAATTATGGTTTTGCCACTAAGCATTCCAATTTGATCCATATGACTACCCTAAAGCTTTTCGACATTCTATATTCATTTTTAATGTTATTTTAATCTAAAAATATTTAGTTTTATGATTTATCTCAAAAATAAAGTTAATTTACACCTAAAATACTAAAATTACTATTTTACCCCTCCGAACCGTTGCATAAGCCAAACGTCCATTCCAAGTTTTTTCAGACCTCCCGGATTCAATGATATTATTATTTTGACATAAAAAATTAATATATTTACTTAGTTACCCTTATCAACCTTAAACACCTTCAAAAATTAAATTTGACCCAAAAGTCAATACGTTCGTGCTTCAAACTTACTTGATTATTCCTGTAACAACGATTCAAAGTTTTTCTCATCATTTTAATCATTTTAAAAATACTAGCAAGTTAATGTCATTGATATTTATATAACACACGGAATCTCACAATAGTCTATTGGAAGGATCAGATACCTTTCCTCTTCGGCCTATGAGAAATCTTGGAACGACCTGATGCGAACATAATCTCTAAGAATTCCTTGAAAGGATGGTCACGAACTATCAAGAGTCTACTCTCCTACTCTATAGATAACATGGGTGAAACTACAGAGAAACCAATCACACAATAAGAATAGATATGTGATGACTAGAAGTAAAAACAAAAGTGGAATTCTTACCTAGCTTGGTCCTCGGGACGGTGTCCCACCACGAAGGCACAAAGTCAAGGTCACCCTCGGTGGCCCACTTATCTCCAACAAAAAGCACTTAGACTTCCAGCTATGAGAGTTTGAAGGAAGCTTAGTGATGAACTTGTCTGACCTCGGGGCAAAACGACAACCCCCTTAATGAGGAAAAGGGTTATCCAGGAGCACATGTGACCAAAAACTCGTCGAATGGGGGGAGGAACATCAACATTGTGAACTAGCTGCCACAGTGAGAAAAATGCTAGGATCACTCTCCACCCGTTGGGAGCCAACCTCCGGGGGGCCTACGACAGGTGCCGTAGAATCTGACAAATAGGTCCGGGTATTAGGAACCTCAAGCTCGCTTCTAAGGCATCATTATAAAGAACAATCTCACCCGAAGAGTCACAACATGCTAGCTTATCCTCCTTCGCCTGATGACACATGCCAGTGGGAGGCATATAGTATGAAGACAAAATACAGGCGATGTCATCATCACAGTCAATTGAGCTAAAAATAGAAACTACCTTCGAATCATCGCCCTTAGCGATCCCCTTGCCTTGTGGGAAGCCTCGAATAGCGTCCTTCAAAGCACCTCCATTAGGACAAGCACCTATCAAAATCAGAATAGATATCAAGAAATTTTAAGGAAAGGTAAATGCTAGGACTAAGGCAACGGTGAAAATTCAAGTGTTTGCCTCACCATCACGAGGCCTTACGCTAAATCCACTAGCATCAGCTGACCCATGCCTGCCGAAGAGTAGCCCACCAGTGTCGCCACCTGGCCTATGTATCATGCCCCATCTTGGTCTCCCATGGATGAGATGCGACTAGGTTTGTAATACACCTGTTTATAATTATTATAATCTGGACTAATCAAACATTAAATAATCTCACAGATGCAACAACACCATCCATCACCTTTGTCATTAAGTATGATGGTAGAACCCATCTTATAACCTGTATCATATATAAAACATCTGTATCAATTGTTTGTTTTTCAGGTAATAGACATATACAAAATCTCATACCCACATATCATACATCACAAAGTATGTTTGTTAAGTCTGTTTATAAATATATACTAATAACCTGCTATAATAATCTTTCACAAATATAATATACAACTCAGCAATTAGTTATACTAACACTCAACCTGAGCGATATCACCCTAACATTGTACAAGACTCAAATGACTAGACAGTGGACTGGTATGCATCCTCCTCTATCATACCTAAAAAGAAAAAGCTATAGGAGTGTAAGCTAAACCACGCGCTCAGTGAGCATACATGCTATATATGAAATGGAAATGATAGTAATACACTGTAGTAGGTAGATACTACGTAGATACACGTATCAAACAACAACGTCAATCTAATTGCAAAGAATTCACAAGCCACATCACATCCACACTACCCCCCATTGGGTAATTAATCCCACATGGATCCTTGTCTCCTGAACCTCCCGAGAACACCCCNCTCAACTAATTCTCCAAAGTCACAATGCGAAGAGCTACCAATTTCTCCTGAATAGATGACTTCAAACCTTTTTCAAACAAGTTGGCCTTCTTGCCCTTAGTCGATACATATTCTATAGCAAAGCGGGAGAGCTCCACGAACTTGAACTCATATTGAGTGACAGTCATGTTACGTTGTTGAAGTACCATGAAGTCAGATGTCATCTTATCCCTCATTGATTTGGGAAAGTACTTCCCATTGAAAACCTCTTCAAAATTTTTCCATGTCATTTGTTCCACGTTTCTCCTTCTTTTTACTAACTCCCACCAATGGTCAGGTTTCCTTTCCATAAGATATGCAGCTTGACCAACTCTCAAGTCATTGGCAATATCCATGCCATCCATCACTTTCTTCACTTATTGGAGCCACTTCTCTGCCTCGAGTGGATCTGGGCCTCCTTGAAAGATAGGAGGGCATTGTCGTAGAAATTCTTTAAGAACCATCATTCTTCTACCCTNATTGGAAGCCACTTCTCTGCCTCGAGTGGATCTGGGCCTCCTTGAAAGATAGGAGGGCATTGTCGTAGAAATTCTTTAAGAACCATCATTCTTCTACCCTCACCTCCAACTTGTTGCACTTGAGCTTGGGTGGCGGTAGTATGATTATTGTTATTCCCGGCTTGTTGTTGTACCAATGTAGTGAGCTCCCTCAAACATTGGTAGATACCATTCATAGTGTCATGACATGGTGGTACGTGATTTCCCCCTCCTTGGGGTGGTCTCCCACGTCCTCTTCTTGCCTCTATCCTACATATGCAACTAGGCTTTAGATCACCATTCAAACATATACATTCTAGAGATGTAGTCGAGTTTATGAGATACGTCGTTTCCTACAATTAACCTCAAAAGCCTAATGACTTTCAAAAACTTCATGTGTTGGGACCATATTTAGATAATCCATGTACCTATATCTCTCATATAAGACCTAATACCTAAGCTCTAATACCAACTTGTCAAGCCCCAAATTTCATAAAAGCGTGATTAAAACAAAGCATCCCTGTAAGAGTATAACATAATTTAGACTAACTAAACATCCACAACATACGTCCATCAAAAATATAATCCAACTAAATTCATGGTGGCAATTAGAGACCCATGAAGTCCTCCCAAACTCGGATACATCCAATACCAATATATACTATAATTGAGTACACAAAGTCATTACTTTACATTACAATACCCAAAGTAATAATCCCTTTATGGAATGATCAAGTATACACCATAAATGCCTCAATATAACATTTTCAAACACAATGTCTAAGTGCTAACATTTCTACATAAGTCCTAAAGGTAAACACAAAAAAGGCTCCAAAATAAATTCTTTCTAGTCCAAGCTCCCACAAGCATTTCATCACCTATGCCCCATGATGCATGCTAGTCTCTGAAAATATTAGTAAGGGATAAGCAACCATAACTCAATAGGATAATCATTTTCCCAAGTATTTACAAAGTTTTAAATACCAACATTCCACAAACCATTCGAATAAGTAATGAAAGCTTTCTATACTTAAGTATAGATACAAGATAATAAGTAAAACATTTATAAAAATCTCTCAACACCTCAACATTAGAAATATACAAGGTATAAATTAAAGGTTTATATATTTAAAGTCAAATCATCATAGCAAATATCATGCATGCCTCGCATACGGACAATATAATCAATCACACCAATTCACACATGAACCATCCCAGAGGAACCTTTTGGGTCTTGCACCCTAGGGTCTCATCCCCCTTCTTGCTTTTCAAGGAAAATGTGTATGGCACAACTTGTGATGCCACATAGGTCATCACCGTATACCAGTACCATAACTAATCCCCCTTAGGACTAGTAGTCGCCTTAGTAACCCACTCAATAGGCCCCAACTGTCTACTAACTCTCTGCCTGTCAGTATCGAGCATACATTTTTCAAAAATCATTATTTTCTATATCCATAAATCCTTTTGAAAACATATGTCATAACCTTGACATTTTATCAAACATGTAGTAGGCTCAAATTTCAAAAGTTACATTTTCAAAGCAACATAACCATTTTCAAGAGAATAAACCATATATATTATGTACAAAATCATAGCATACTTCAAAACTCCCAAATCATAGGTTTAATCAAATATTCACAGCTAAAATCAAACTAGAGTTTCAAACCCACAACACTAAAATTATTTCCATTTCCAAGAGAACACTTCATATATATTATGTACAAGATTATAGAATACCTCAAAACCCCCAAATTATAGGTTTAATCAAATACCAATAACTAAAATTAAACTAGGGTTTCAAACCCATAACACTAAAATCATTTTTATGTATGTGAGTTCACAATTCATGGCAAACTTAACACTAAATCAAGGTTTATAACAAGTATTTTGTCATCAAACACATAGTAAGCATTAGCAGAAGAAAATAAATGAGATGCACAATGTAAATACAAGAGAAAGGAAAACCCCACCTAGAAATCAAAAATTTCAAGCCAAGTTCCTAGAATTTTCAAGTAAAACCCAAGTTTTAGAGACCTTCTCCTTCCCTTTTCTCTTTCCATTTATCTTCTCCTAGGGTTCTAAGAGGTATTGGGTGAGAGTGGAATGAAAAAATGAAAGAAAAGGGGCTAAAATTTGAGTTTTAAATCCAACAATCCTGAAATTTACTGTTCATGGGCAAAAAATATATTTTTTCTGAAATTATGGTTTTGCCACTAAGCATTCCAATTTGATCCATATGACTACCCTAAAGCTTTTCGACATTCTATATTCATTTTTAATGTTATTTTAATCTAAAAATATTTAGTTTTATGATTTATCTCAAAAATAAAGTTAATTTACACCTAAAATACTAAAATTACTATTTTACCCCTCCGAACCGTTGCATAAGCCAAACGTCCATTCCAAGTTTTTTCAGACCTCCCGGATTCAATGATATTATTATTTTGACATAAAAATTAATATATTTACTTAGTTACCCTTATCAACCTTAAACACCTTCAAAAATTAAATTTGACCCAAAAGTCAATACGTTCGTGCTTCAAACTTACTTGATTATTCCTGTAACAACGATTCAAAGTTTCTCTCATCATTTTAATCATTTTAAAAATACTAGCAAGCTAATGTCATTGATATTTATATAACACACGGAATCTCACAATAGTCTATTGGAAGGATCAGATACCTTTCCTCTTCGGCCTATGAGAAATCTTGGAACGACCTGATGCGAACATAATCTCTAAGAATTCCTTGAAAGGATGGTCACGAACTATCAAGAGTCTACTCTCCTACTTATAGATAACATGGGTGAAACTACAGAGAAACCAATCACACAATAAGAATAGATATGTGATGACTAGAAGTAAAAACAAAAGTGGAATTCTTACCTAGCTTGGTCCTCGGGACGGTGTCCCACCACGAAGGCACAAAGTCAAGGTCACCCTCGGTGGCCCACTTATCTCCAACAAAAAGCACTTAGACTTCCAGCTATGAGAGTTTGAAGGAAGCTTAGTGATGAACTTGTCTGACCTCGGGGCAAAACGACAACCCCCTTAATGAGGAAAGGGGTTATCCAGGAGCACATGTGACCAAAAACTCGTCGAATGGGGGGAGGAACATCAACATTGTGAACTAGCTGCCACAGTGAGAAAAATGCTAGGATCACTCTCCACCCGTTGGGAGCCAACCTCCGGGGGGCCTATGACAGGTGCCGTAGAATCTAACAAATAGGTCCGGGTATTGGGAACCTCAAGCCCGCCTCTAAGGCATCATCATAAAGAACAATCTCACCCGAAGAGTCACAACATGCTGGCTTATCCTCCTTCGCCTGATGACACATGCCAGTGGGAGGCATATAGTATGAAGACAAAATACAGGCGATGTCATCATCACAGTCAATTGAGCTAAAAATAGAAACTACCTTCGAATCATCGCCCTTAGCGATCCTCTTGCCTTGTGGGAAGCCTCGAATAGCGTCCTTCAAAGCACCTCCATTAGGACAAGCACCTATCAAAATCAGAATAGATATCAAGAAATTCTAAGGAAAGGTAAATGCTAGGACTAAGGCAACAGTGAAAATTCAAGTGTTTGCCTCACCATCACGAGGCCTTACGCTAAATCCACTAGCATCAGCTGACCCATGCCTGCTGAAGAGTAGCCCACCAGTGTCGCCACCTGGCCTATGTATCACGCCCCATCTTGGTCTCCCATGGATGAGATGCGACTAGGTTTGTAATACACCTGTTTATAATTATTATAATCTGGACTAATCAAACATTAAATAGTCTCACAGATGCAACAACA